GCGAGGTCAGGACAGCACACTGCTTTTCACATGGGAAGCCTCCAGGGCTATCTCCACGGCTGGGTTTGCTGTGTGCTCCGGTGGGTCAGAAGACTTTGTGTCCGTGGTCCTGTGGTGGATCACGCCCAAGGGTCGTCTTGGGAACCTAGGGCTGTGGGAACACAGGGGATGGAGCTTTCATCAGCTGCTTTGTACTGCTCCGAAGCACAGGGACCTTAAAGAAAAAGGTTTTTGTTTTATTCTGAGCTCTTGAGCTGTGCCTGAGGGCTGGAAGAACTTCCTCTGAGCTGCATGTGAGCGATTCCTATCGATACCAATAGGCAGAAGTAGTTGCAATGCTCAGTTCTTTTAACATCAGGCAAAGAATCAATCTTGACTCTTCTCCTTTAAAGGATCTAGGCTCATTCTTACTGATTTAGGCTCTAGCTATTATGTTTTTAATATTTAAAAAAAAAAAAACAACAAAAAACTCTGAAAACCCAACCCTTTTGTGAGCCCTGGCAGGTAGGGATGTAGGCCACGATCATGCAATGTGGTTGGCCCCTTCCATTGTAACACAGGATGGTAAAATTTGAGGAGACGTTTTCATTTGTCTCTGAATTACCTCTAGACTAGCATTTGGGGTTGCATCCACCTTCCTCCTGTCTTACGTGCATCATCTGCTGCTTCTGCTGCCTCACCTGTGGCAGCACAGCTTCCTTCCTGCTCCGTGATGCTACGTGTCAGGCATCCCATGGTATACTCTACCATGTTGCTCCTTTGCTGGGTCTCTTTGGACTAGTTAAGTCACAGGCTTTTGAAGGCTCTTGGCTTACCTTGCACATTCAGCCCTTCTTCTCACTGACTTCTTCCACGTGAACATAACGAAGTGGTTGATCAGTAATACTTGCCTGGCAGAGAGCTGCTATGGAAACAGACTGTGTTCTGTTTTGATGGGGATGATGGGTGATTTGGCTCTTGGTGAACTCAAGGGAGCTGCTATGAGATGTGTCAGCAGCACAGCTTCCATGTGAGATATTCCTAATCCCCAGAGCTGCCTTTTCATGCACATATGCACCACTACCTCCAACCCTTATCCTTATTGCAACCAGCTGTGGCTTGACTTTGTCGAAGATCTGATAGAGCTCCCTTACCCCCTCTCCCACTCCCACTAACTCACATTAGTCATACTTGGGCAGCGCATGAAATAAGATGGTGATAAAGCTCTGATGCTACACACCAGCGTCATTCCGAGGGGCTCTGTGCTGGGCTGTGAAGACTCCACTGCATTAACCCCTTGGTGTCTCCGGGCAGAATTTCCTGATGCCCGTGAGCCATGTATCATCTCGGGGATGATGGAGCCCTTAGGGCACCTTTTGTCCAAGTAGAGATGGATATATTACTGTGGCATGTTAGAGATTAAATGTGGTTTTTTTTTTTTTTCTGCTTTTTTAGTTAGCAGACTGAGGAAGACAGCTCTTGTGTTAAGGCGCTGGCCACTTGTGCGAAACCTGGGTTTTCTCTGTGCCGTTGGTAATGCAGAGAGAATGTTATTTTTCTTCTTCTTGTTCATACTACTTAAGCTAAAGATTAACTTTGGCAGGGTGACAAGGGGCTATGTACTGGCCAAGATAAAATTCGGTCTGGAAGTTAGTGGAAGCTTTCTGACCACTGCGGAGGAGGAGCTTGGGGAACAGAAATTGGATTATTTTTTTAAAAACAGGACAGCGTATCAACTGGTTAAATTTGGATTGCTTTTCCCGAGGGTGGCGAAAAGCACATCCTTGATCTGATGCCAGCCACCAGGCAAATTTCAGAGCTTTCACTCATAGCACAGATTTCTCTCATAGGCAGGATGCTGCCCTTTGGGCGGACGAAGGCCACCAGCCACTCCTCATCCCCTAAGCCACCGCTGCGGCTGTGCTGCCAACATATCAGCAGAGAACTGTACATCGCATCCTCCCCTTTGCAGGCTCGCGTGATGCTTCGAGGGGCAAACACAAGCCTTTTGGAAAAGCACAAATATTTTAACTGCTGTTCTGCTATCTGTCACGTAGCCACCTTTGCAAAAAGGAGAGAGGGTGGGCCAAGCTTTGCGGGAAGGATGGTTTTGGGTAATCCTCGGCTTTCTGCAGCGTTTGCACTTCTCGAACACCGGAGACGTCATTACTGACTCGGGTGGCCGAAGCTCGTGGGGTGTTCAGGAGAGCAGGACTGCTTTTGCAGCAGGTCAAGAGCTCCCAGTGTAAATCCAGTTCTTGAGGCAGTGCAAAACCCGTAAATCTAGGCTGACATGTCTGCGTGGGGCCGAAGCAAAGCTTTGTACTTCACTGAGAAGGGCCCAAGGACTTTGTCTCTGATCCCAGTTGTGATTTGGAGCTGACTGCTGAGCTGATGGCAGCCCAGATACCCACCAGTAAAGTTAAAAATAAACTGCTTGAAATTCTCTGCTGATAATTGAAGCAAATTTTTATTTTTTTTCTGTGGTTTGATGTAAAATCAAGTCAGGGCTCTCTCCTCCTCCCCAGCAGTGCCTGCCCAGTCCGTGACCCCTGAAGTCCTGCAGGCTTTTCCTCTGCTCTCAGCAGCAGTTCAATTTCTGAGATACTGGCTTGCTTCTTTTCTTTCTATGTGTCTCGGGAAGATGTTAGAGATCCTGCGCATTCAAATAAAAATTTGAATGCTATTGAAATAACCAGGAGGGACACTAAACCTTCAGATCCAGATCTCTTTTGTTAGCCTTTGAGGCCGTTCTGCATCTGTAGCACCGGTGGAGTCCTGTTGCTGCCTGTGAACCCGGTTCCTGCTGTTCCTAACGTGTTAGGCTAGAATGAGGATCAGCCTGAGCAGATGCCAGAGGCAATCAGGACCCTCTTGTTTCAGGAGGTGTCTCTCCAGCCAAGACAGGCTGTTGGTCCTGCTTCTTCCAGTCCTCTCTTGTACGTGGTCTCTGGAAGGTGCTCTAATGGGATGAGTAGCCCAAAGCCACTCTGGTCCATGTGTGGAGTCCGTGGTTGTCGCTGTGTGCGTGCCAGCAGAAATACATCTTTGCACTCTTTGGATGCATTTTCTAGCATGTCCAGAGCACAGACAGAGTCACTGCTGGAACATGAGGTGCTGAGAACTGAAAGCTGCTGACTGATGCTCACAGGGGATCCTGCCTGTGTTATTGTTTGTTTGTCACCAAACGGGAGCGATGGTTATGGAGCTCTTTGCAACGGTTTGTGTCTGCTGCCCCAGGAATTTCATTTGCTCCATTCACAAACAATTACAATAAACAAGCTGTAGTAACTGGACTATTTCCTTCAGCTTTGGGTCTGTAATTTGCTTCCTGGCTGCATTCTCAGATGTGGGGCTTTAGAAACCAGGTCTTTCAAACTCGGATATTTTACGGGGAAGATGTCTTGGTTTTGTAGCAGCCTCTGCAAAGCACGCTTTCTGTCTTGGACATCCAGGAGAGCTACTGCACCAGCCGTTTCCCAATGCTTTTGTTGTCTTTCCCAGTTGATCACGTGGTTCCTGAGCCAGGTACCAGTTTGCTGACTGCGTTCGACCAGTGGCGAGAATGGGCAGACAGCAAATCCTGCTGCGACTACTCTCTGCATGTGGATATCACCGAGTGGCATAAAGGTGTCCAGGAGGAGATGGAAGCTCTGGTTAAAGATCATGGTAAGTTCTGTTACTGAAAGCTCAAAGGAGCGGTTCTGGGACTGGCTCCCCTATTAGGTTGGGCTATTGTGAAATATTTTACTCTTACATCTCAATAAAGCTGTTCTGGGCTTGGCCCATCCTGTTGTGGAGGGCTCAGGGTGATGGTGCATGGTGGTGTCGCTGCAGTGGGTGTTAGGAGGTGAATCTCTTGCTGCTGCCTTGCAGAGGGAAGACCTTTGTTCAGTGGAGGTTGTTTTGTTTTTGCTAGTACATGTAGGCAACAGGTTGGACCGTTAAACTGTTGTAAACAAGGGAAGAATCAGGCCCAGAAGCAACAATTCCGCACTGCTTGCTAGAAGTGGAGAAGAGCTGAATTAAATGACCTCATAGGTTTTTCCCCTCTTTGATTTCCCTGACGTTTCATCCTTGGGCTAGAGTGATTTTCCATCCTGTTTGTAGTTTAGAAACCCAGCCTTTGATATCCTAATGAGTGCTTTCCCACAGGTTGGGTAAGAGCACTAGTTCAGAGCAGGAGAGGGAAAGCTGACTTAGGAGCACTCCCTGTGTGCCTTGGTCAGTGCGAACACAGCAGAGGAGGACACGCTCACAGACACGGATTTCCCATCGCTCTCGCAATAGGGAGTGAGGGATCAGGCAGGCAGACCCAGTCTCTGCTTTTGGGTGTGATGCATTTTGCTTATTTTTTTACTAAGCCTCGTACAGTGCTGAATCCACAGAATTCTTACTTCAGTGTTAAGTGGCAGCCCAAGGGTTTAGCTGTCCCCACGGCTGGAGTGCAGGCTCCTCCGTTCTCATCAGGGGTATTAATAGCTGCCACGTGGCTGAGGAGATCCTGGCTTTATGCTGGGATCATGCGTGTCCACGTCGCGCAGCAGATTAAAGTCATTTATTTGTCTGCCCATCATTACTGCTTGCTGGGGGGCTGATTGAGGGGGACATCTCCTTATGACAAACTCTGTGGTTCGAAGCTTTGTCTGTGCCTGCCATTTCTATGTCAAAATAATTCCTTTGCTCTCCTTCTACCAGGTGTGAACTCCTTTTTGGTTTACATGGCTTTCAAAGATCGCTTTCAGCTCACTGATTCTCAGGTAGGAAGGTTTAATGTTCATATGCTTCTGTCTGTGCAAGCTGTGCATGAGGCTCTTGTAAGGGTTTAATTTCAATACTCTTAGATCTGACATTCTCTTCTGGTTTCAGGCTTTGTATGCGTAACAGTACCTAAGATTTGCCACAGTACCCAGAGCTTTGGTTTGAAGATTTTTTAATTTTTTTTTTTTTTTTTAACAAAAAAAACCCCAACCAACAACAAACCCTGAAGGGCTTGGCTGGAGAAAGCAATGGCAAAGCCCTCATTTTGAGAGATGTGAGGTTTTATTCCAGCTCCTTTGCTGTGGAAGCAGTGGCAGTTTTATAAATTGCTGCTTTATGCCTAGGCGGGGGGCAGGACAGTGAGATCTCTGGCATAACTGTTCTGTGTGTGCATAAGCTGAAACCGATCCTGGTCCAGAAGTGGGTTTCTTTCTGGCTTTAGCGTTAGAATCACTGGGACCTGAAAGAGGAATTTCCCTCCCATTTGCTATTCTTGTGGATACGTTTGGGTACATTTAATTGTTGGGCTTGGCAGTTTATATTTCTGAGCGTGGTAGGAGGAGAGGAATGTCTAGGAGTCATTTGGAACAGTGTAGGAGGCAGTGGTGTATGACAGTTATCTCTAATGACTCTGGTAAACATTTTAATGAGTGACCATTGATAGAGCTGGCGTCAGTTGTGGTTGCTCAGCCTGAGCCCTCTCGGGCTGGTTGCTGGAGTGGGAAATCACACTGCTCCTGTCCCAGGCAGTGAGAAGGGTGGGTGCAGGTTCTCTGTAAAAATCAAGTGTAAGGGGTTTTTTTCATGCTGGGCACCAGTAAATGAAAACATGAAACAGGTACAACCCAGTGAGCTTCTTAAAAGCATTCCAGATGTAGACCTGTGTCGTGTGGTTAATAAACCAAACCTGGCTTTTGAATGGTGCTGCTTTGCCATATCAGGAGCATCTGACTGTACAGATTGGGAAATTCAGTGGCAGGCAGGAAAATGAATCGTATCTATCTAGCAGACCACATCTTGTATTTCCTAATGCTTCCCTTTCTCTTTTCCATTCTGCAAAATGATGTGCGCTGCGGGAGCCTGGAGCATATTCTATATAATAGGTGTGTCCCTGAGTGTACGCTCAGGGTGTATTATCATGTGTGTTTTCTGTCTTCCAGATATATGAGGTCCTGAGTGTAATCCGGGATATCGGTGCGACAGCTCAAGTGCATGCTGAGAATGGTGACATCATCGCTGAGGTATGTTGTGTTTATTCTGTGGATTATTAGCTTCAAAATGCTGGGAGGGATTTAAATTCTGATTACTTCTTTGCAAACAGATAATCACCAAGAGTCTTAAAAGCATGGCATAGGTGTGTCAAGGATGCAAGCAGAGCTGTGCATCGAATCTTATCCCCTTCATTGCCACTGATAAAGCAGGTTTTCGTGGCAGCTTTTGGTTTGTGGTGGATATTGGCCACCTCTGCTCTTCTCCCCATAAGTGCAAGACTGTGAGTGTGACAGACACTGTGAACAATAAAGTATCCTGTGGTAACTAAAACCAGGGGGAGTGGAAATAGCTTCCAGTGGGAAGAGAAATGGCTTCATACAGTACCTGGGATGCTGATGTCTGGGATCTGTTCATCCTTTAAACAGCAACAAAGAGGAAATGTTAATAATGAATTTGGATTAATCTGATCTCCAGCTCATTTTATCCATTATATCTCAAGCATGAAGCACTTGCTGTTGCAGAGCGTTTCTGCATTGTCTGACTGGTTGAGAGCCCACCTGAGTCTTTGAGCCCAGCTGACTGCAGTTGCAGGATGATTTTTTTCATGAGATACTGTTTTGCCCCATCTTAGAGATTATTTTATAGATGCAAATGAGTAGCAAAAGTTGAGGGGCTATGAACCCAGTGGGAAGCAAATGAAAATAAAAGGTTTCCCTGACCTCCTGTGAACAAATCAGCAAGGGTTTAGTGAGCTCTGGTTATTCTCAACAAGGGAAGTTGGACAGAACTCTGGTTGTAAGGCCCTTATGTAAAGCCCCATGTGATTATTAGCTAGCACAGATGCCCAGGATCTCACTTGTACCTCTTTCAAACAGCTGTGTTTGCTGAAAAAAAAAAAATGTGTTGCTTTAAATCTTTTTCTTGCGCTTTTTTCTCTCTGCCTTAGGAGCAGCAAAGGATCCTGGAACTGGGGATCACAGGGCCTGAAGGGCATGTGTTGAGCAGACCTGAAGAGGTGAGGACTCTACTGCATTTATTCCCCCAATTTATAATATTTGTGCATTGCTTGGATTTATCTAGTGTCAAGACCGCAATCCCTCTCACTCCCTCTAGGTCTTCAAAATAAATCTCCCTTAAAACGTTGCTTTTCAGGTTGGTTCCCATTGCATTCTTCGTTTCCAGTCTTTCGATACCTCTAAGCTAGACATCTCACCATGACATTCTGAGTTTGTGAAGTCCATCCGTTACGTATGAGCAGTTCTTTTTGTTCCTCTGAGATACTGGGGCTTTTCTGACTGCCAGATGTGGCAGCTGGAAGCTGGGGGTGTGAGATCATCCACACGTGCCCCTCATGCTCCCTCTCTAGTTCCTCCCCTTGGTTCAGACAAGCAGCATCCAGAGACATTTCAGTAACAATATAAATCATTCTGTTGCTTCATAGAGAAGGGGAAAAAAATATGCTGGACTTGGGCAGTATGTGAATCCTTACAGAATTTGTGTTTGGCTCTGGGAGCTGAGATTTTTTTGCTTCCTGGAAGTTGTGAGCAAACACTTGCACTGAGCTTTCCACTCACCCGCCCCTGCAATTCTTTTTTTCTTTTTTTTTTTTTTAACATATTTTTTGGCTTGCATCAGGAGAGCAAAACCAGATGCTGACATGACACTTGGGGCTCAACTGTAGAGCACCCCTAAACTTTTGTTGACTTCAAAGGAAGGCTTCTCCTTACCTTGAAGGATCTGGCTGTGAAATTACCCTGTCTTGTCTGGCTGCTTCAAAGCTCACCCTTAGTGGAGCAGGAGCTTTAAAGTGTGAACTGTGTGGCTCCCTGGCTTGCTTGGTTTGTTACATCCGTCTCCTGTGCTGTGCAGAAATGTGTTCTTTCTCGGTATAGCAAGGAAGGCTGCCTGAGGACACGTGGCTGCCTCAGATGAGGATCAGTAAAGCCTCGTCCCAGCGCGCTGGGCAGCCTCTGCGCGGCTGAGCTCAGCTGTGCTGTCTGTGCAGAGTGGAAGCACTTGGTCCGAAACTCTCCTCCTTTAAAGTCATAGGAAACAGAGCAGGAAACGATGTCATCTGGTTCCCTCCCCTCTTTTTCTCCTATGTGGGAGTAACATTGTGTTTTTAAAAACATACAATTCCCTTTAAGCTGGCTGATGATAAAGGCCAGATTCTGGGGGTGGCTGCAGATCCGTATGTTGACTTCAGGAGTGGATGTTTCTTGGTATCACTCTGGGGTGCTGTTAACACTAGAATTGGCTTTTCACGCCGCCCCTTACAGAGCATAAGACCTGTCCTAAGAACTTTATGATGGTTGTCGTTTTGCTGAAGAGCTGCTCAATTCACATCTGCATCCGCAGCAAACTAGCAGGAGTTGTTGAACAAGTCTGAAATGTTTATAAATGAAAACTCTCAGTGCAGTGAGGCTTACATCAGAGCGAAGCATTCAGGGTTTGGCCGTGTGTGTTTGTGTCTAACTTGGAGCATACACATCTTCTGAATTCCCAGATTGAGCAGAAGGCACAAATTAAGGCTTAAGTTTCGCTGCTGACTCATGGGTTCAGCTTGCTCACCTCAGTAACCTGGGTTGAGCCAAGGTGACGATATTCATCATGTTCAGCCAGGAAAGGGAGCTTTCACTAAGACACCACCACCCCAAGTCAGCATCACCCTTCACTTTCTGCAAAACTCTCCCCCTCGTAGCTCCGATCAGTCTGTGATGACTTTTTGGAGAGATCCGTCAATTTTAGTTTTTATGTTAGCCACAAAAACGCTGAAAGCACAAGGAGTCCAAGTGCTCCAGGAAATGTCTGTCTTTTTTTTTTTCCAAGAGAACTGCTGTGCTAGGGCTTCTAATGCATACTGGTAATTGCAAACATTCCCCTTTGGACTAGTTGTTGGGTTATTGTTATGTGCCTGTCACCATAGCATCTGGGCACAAGGCAAGAATTCAGCAGCCTTTTTCTATTTTCTCCTCCTGTTTAGCAGTTGCTCAAATGCCTTTTGGTCAAAACTCTGGAGATGCGTGTTGTTTTATTTCTGCTTTGTAAGTGGGGAAACTGAGGCACAGCGTGGAAATAACGACTTTCAAGTGCTGCAGTGACAGAGCTGTGTGCAGACCTGCTTTAAATGCAAACTGATGCCATTGCCTGGAAGCATTGTCCTTTCTGAGTTCTCTCCTGGTCTCTCAGGAGGGACAAGTATGCTTTTCTTGGCTCTTCCTTCAGCCTCTGTCTTCCCTGCAAATGCTGCTGGCTGTGGCGTACTCCAGTTAAATGTCTTGGAATAAACACCCTTCCCTGCAGCCTTTTCCGTTTGCATGGGGCAGCTGGGCCAGAAAACGTCCCCTTCTGTACATCACCCTGCCTGGGGAGGGTTAGTCACCAGCCCTGGCATGGTCACAGGCTGGGCTTTAACCCTTTTGGCCCTAGAAGCCAACCTGCTGGGTCTGGGGGGCTGGTTTTCTTTAACTCCCAGCTGTCGTCATGTTGTTTTTCTGGGGCATTCCAGCTGCAAACAGAGCAAGCGTTACAAGTGCTGTCGGTGTGAGCAGAGCTGTTCTGGGCACTTGGACATCAGTGTGGTGAATATCCCACTTCCTTCAGTTCAGGTGCTTCTTTCAGTGGATCAAACGTGGTGCTAGGAGCCAGCAGTCGATGCATTCTGATTCTGGGACGGAGGATGGTGCTTGGCCTGCAATAAGTTGCTGTGGAACAGATTTTCAAAAGTGCTGAGCGTGTGCCAGTCCCAGTGGAGTCCACAGGAGGTGGTGGTAACCTGGGAATCAGGTGTCTTGATTGCTCTGGGTTTTGGTTTCCTCTGCTGTTCCCTTGGAAGATGTCTGTGGTGTTGCAGGCTCAGTTCTTGGTGGCAGCCATTGTTAAATCTGTCATCTGGACTGCTCTGATTAGGATGTGTGATCTGTAAAAGTCTGCAGAGTGATTATGCTCATTCTAAGGCTGCAGTTATAATGTGACCCGCAGTCTTACTGAGGTTATCTCCCTACACATGCAAGAATAAGTTGATTTATGGGATGGTTCACACTCTGTCAGATCCCAAGCCAGATATTGTTGCAGAGGGTACAATTTAGGAGGCTTGTTTGCAAACGTGGCTTACCAGAGTATGTGGCTACAGCATCTCTCTTCCGCGTGGGCTGGAACATGAATAGTCTTGTTGAGTCAACATTTAGTTGCTTATTTTTGTCTAGGTTAAAGAAGGGGCTTAATCATCCTGACCTTGAGCACCTGGAGTGTTGTTTTAGGACTTAGTCTGCTTGCAGAGTGACTTTAAAGCAGCCTGGGAGAAAAGGTAGTAATGAGAGGGGACTACAGCTTGATGTCATTTTAATTATCATGATTACACTGTGCATTTTTCTGCCTCAGAATTGGAGAGGTGGAAAGTCTCTTATCTTGGCCCTGCACGCCCTGTTTTCCCGTGAAAGCAGAGGCTGGGACCCTCTGAAGGTGAAGGGGATGTGCTAACATAGGGATGTTGCCACACTAACTTGCTGCTGACTTTATTTCTCAGGTGGAGGCAGAGGCTGTGAACCGGGCAATAACCATCGCCAACCAAACCAACTGCCCTCTTTATATCACCAAGGTGATGAGCAAAAGTGCTGCTGATGTCATTGCTCAAGCCAGGAAAAAGGGTAAGTTATGTCCCTCGGATGGAACACCCTCTTAGCTCATGCAGTTCAACTCCTTGCCAACATGAGTTTCATCCCTCCAGGAAAGGTTTCTTTTTCCAGTGCTATTGTCCAGGCTCTTTTTAAAAAGGTCCCAAGCAACTGCTTCTGTCTCATCTCCTACAAAAAAGTATTCAGTGGTCTTATCAGTGCCAGGAACCATTTCTTCTGTTCAGCCTAGAGCCTCTCTAACCACGCTCATCCTACCACATTGATCCACATGCCTTCATTTTATCACAGAGTAATTCCATGCTGTCTCCATTTAATGAATCCCCCTGGAGACTGCAAGCTGTGTCCTCCTTCCAGCAGCTGTAGTCTTTCCTTGGTGCTTTCTGCTGAGCTGCTTCCTGGGGTCAGAAGTGATTCCAAGAGGCTCTGACTCACGAGTCCTGTTGGATTTAGCTGGAGTAGCCAAAGAGGGTACAGATTCCAGCTGTCCAGTGTGCTTCTTGCTTGTCGAGTAGATACTCCTCGTGTGCCGTAACTCACAGCCTGGCATCCAAACAGGAATTGGGATTGGTAGTCTGGGTTAGGCTGGGAATTGCAACCACCTCTGATAACTCTGCCTGAGGATGCTGCAAGAAGCAAGACTCAGACCTGCAGTGGATGCTGCTGCCTTGTGTCTCCTGTCTCTAACCGAGGTCCGTGAGGGAGCTGAGCTCCTCTGAGCAATGAAGTGGCTTCTCCCGCGTCCTGACTCCCCTGGCTTGCCCCCCAAGGAGCAAGGGTTACAAAGCACAGTGAGTGCCTGTCTCCCTGCTTTATTCTGTGACTAAACCCTTCATTTCTATTTAAAGCGGCTCTGGGTGAGTAAGCAGGAGGGATGATTTCCCCCTTCTTTCTTCAGAAGGGTTGGATTTAATTTTATGCAGTCCAAATAAGCCTGAATGGAATATACAAATGACATCACTTTCCATCTGGGTGTTTGGTGTGAGAAGAGCCAATTTCCTACCACAGCAAACAGATTTGTGTTTGTGTATTGGCTCAGAAGTATTTTGGTCCCATGATTCCTGTTAAATGAGTTCAGAGCTGGTGAGGAGGACCGATTTCCAGGGCATCTTTTTCTGTTCATGGCGTGGAAGCAGCTCAAGCTGTTTGGGGTAAACCTTCCTCTCCTAGCTTCATTAGTGGAGATCATGCTGAAATCAGAAGATGTGTTGACACACAGAAGTGGCTGCATGTTGCATTGCCCCAGAAAAACAACTTGATGTGGCTGAGCAACTCCATCCTACAGGCCAGGGAAGCAGCCCTTCCTTTTTCTGGGCAAAGGACCAGAGAGATGTGCACCTCAGAGATGCAGCATCAACAAAAACACTCTCTTGCTGTGCTTGCTGTCCCCTGCGACCACCAGCTGGCGAGTAGGTAGGAGCAGTGGGATGAGGGACCATACACTTACATCACAGAAGCTGTAAAACACAGCCTGACTTGGCTGGATGTTACCCTGCCTGTGAAAGGTGCTGGGATTGCCCCCGATGAATGATCCACAGAACTGGCTTTACTTGGCCTCCTGAGTGAACTAGCATATGCAGTCTTCATTCAGATGGCGTTTTCTCCTTATAAGGATATAAATGGCACGCCATTCTCTGTTCCTTTATTTAAATAATTCAATTTAAACACTGTGCAGTTGCCCAACTGGGTAACCCAGGAGGGCCACACACACTAGCCTTGCCCTCCCAAGCAACAGAGGAAACATAACTGAAGACTATCCAAGGCAGAAACAAAACAGAATTGATTTGCTAAATGGAAAAGAACGAGCGTTATTTAAAGCCAGATGTTGCCAGTGGCATTTGTATGGAGGAGATTCCCTGCAGACCCCGGGAGCTCAAAACGTTGCTCCCTGCAAAACAATCTTCCCAATGTATCGGCCCACAACAGGCCTCCCATTAACAGCCAGCGTGTGTTTTGCCTTGTTCCGATTTTGTAACCCTATTTGTGGCAAGTGATGTCAGACAGCCTCTTCCTCTGCTGATGGATCCCCCCTGCTTCCACCACACCTCCTGTTCCAGTGTGGTCCTGGAAGCAGCGTGAACCCAGTTAACGCATCGTTCTGCCTCGACTAACGCGCTCTTTCCCACCTAGCTGGAGAGCTGATAGACATAACGGGAGCTCAGAGAATATGTGAAAGATCATGTTTTTGTACTCTGCATGGTGAGGTGTGCAGGACCCTGCAGACCAGTTCTGGGGTTGCCTCTGCCAGTTGTTTCTGATGGAAGCATTTAGGGTTAGTATTTTAACTACCCACGTCTTTTGCAGGCAGATACAAATCCACAAAGTGTCTGGGCTCAGAAACCAAACAGACAGGCACTTTACAGAGATTTCAGGAAGGCTTCATTTGGCGAGCAGATCTGTGGGGCTACTAGCTTGCGTTGCTTTTGAAGTTGCAGCATCTTGCATCTGCTTGGGGTGCAGATGTTGCTGGTGCATTCCAGCTTGTGAAGTATTGTGGCCTTAAGGATCTGCCGTTCCTTCATGTGGTTCCAAAAATGTTAATGAAGAGGAAGGATGCACTGGTGGTTAGTGCAACTGGACACAGAGTCAGAAGATCCAATTTCATTTCCTAGTTCTGCCACAGATTTACTGTGTACCCTTGGGGGAGTCACTCAGTTTACCTGAGCTGGGTTTGTGAGCCAGAAACACCAGTCCTTCCCCTGGGATGGGCTTGCTCTGTAGGCAGGAAACTTTCCTGATAGGAGGTTTCTGTTAGATCTCTGCACCGAGCCTGCTCCAATAAACCCAGTCTTGTTGGATCTTTAATACGAACACGTTTATAAAGGTACTGCAGGTGCTTTTTTCTTCATTCTTTTTCTTCCGCATCCCTTCTGGATCAGACTGGATCTCCTCACCCTTACAGTTCCCCTCAGCCTCTTTCATAAGGTTCTTGGCCCAGGATACAGTGCAACGAATCTTCACAGGAACCCTTTCAAGCACAATCATTTTACTTAGATGTTTGGATACTTCTGAGGGATGGATTTTTGAAATTTTGAAATGCTCAGTATTTCTTTAGACATCTCAAGATAGGCATGTGAAATTAAGAATTTCCTTGTGAAAACATGCCCCTACTATCATGACATAGTTTCTGAGGAGCGTTGAACAGGCCAGGAGTTTAATGATTTCTGATCATCTGGTTCTGCAGGCCACTGAACTCAATCCAATGTTGTGTCTCTCTGATCACACACTTACGAGGCAGTACCAAGAAACCCTGCAGCATGTGATGCTGATGCAACTTACCCAACTTGTCCTTTTTCAGAAGGATGCTTTATGCCTGGAAGCCAAGCTGGAGATGCGTGTTTCTTGGTGCTCACAGTGGATTTGTCTGTGTTCCTGTCCTGTAGGCACTGTGGTGTATGGAGAGCCCATCACAGCCAGCTTGGGCACCGATGGCTCTCATTACTGGAGCAAGAACTGGGCTAAAGCAGCAGCTTTTGTTACTTCCCCACCGCTGAGTCCTGACCCAACCACTCCTGATTTTCTCAACTCACTACTGGCCTGGTGAGTAGAGCTCTTTGTGTTCGTACAGCGTGTGCTTCATCATGAGGCAAGTGGGGGATAAAAATAGCTGTTGTTGCCAGCAAGCAAAAGGCTGTTTTGCCTTCATGAGTAAACCTGTGACAAGAAAATATCTTAAATACCTATCATTGTCTTTTCTAGTGGAGACCTGCAAGTTACTGGCAGTGCCCACTGCACCTTCAACACTGCTCAGAAAGCTGTTGGGAAGGACAACTTTACCCTGATCCCTGAAGGAACCAATGGGACCGAAGAGAGGATGTCCATCATCTGGGATAAGGCTGTGGTATGTCGCATGCGTCGTAGGCTTAGGCTGCAACTAGGCATTGAGAGCTGAAAGAGCTGCAGCAGTGGGTTATTATCTCCCCCCAGATGCTTGTTATGGTCCTTCTGCTTGAGGTTTTTGCCCCTGTAGAGATGATTTGGAATCTGCTGCACTGTCAGCTATTTGCTTTTCAGAGTGGTCCGCACCTGGCTAATGCAGTGACTCCTTTTGTCTTTCCCCAGGTGACTGGCAAGATGGATGAGAACCAGTTTGTTGCTGTGACCAGCACAAATGCAGCTAAAATCTTTAACCTGTACCCGCGGAAGGGCCGTATTGCAGTGGGTTCGGATGCTGATCTGGTTATCTGGGATCCTGACAGTGTCAAGACAATCTCTGCCAAGACTCATAACATAGTAAGGATATTTTCTACATTTTCACATTTTCTACAGTGTGAGCTCTGCTGCTCATTTCCTCCTCACTTCTGTCAATGCCAGACTGTGCTGCCAAGAACTAGAGCTCATGACAACTCAGGGCTTTGTTTTCTCCATGCCCCAAGCCCTCTCTGGTCTTACACCCAGTACAGCTCAGTTGTGTGAGCAGAAGGGAAGACGATTGAGTCCAAAGCTGCAATCACATGAATGCCCAGAGATTTCCCTTGGAGCAAAGAGATTGTCTGCTCTTTCTGAGTGTTGGATGCTTGGATCTGAGCACACAGAAAGCTCTTTAAATCTTCTAAAATATCAAAAGGCCTCTTACCACAGTGTGTCATTTGTGACCTTCTGGCTTGCTAGCAGTGGGAATGGGAACTGCCCCTTTTTTAGTTGGGGTCAGTGAAACTTGTCAGCTTGCGGACACCTTAGCTGGAGATTGGATCCAGATCAAGGAGGCTCAGTGGATTTACACCACGTACTGATCTGGCACATGTGTGGAGTCAGACATAATTTTACTGGTGATCATCCTGATGTTAGCTGGTGCAGGGAGGCACAAGGCAGCTCCCAGACTAACCAGACCTTCTCCTGTTTCTTTGTGGTGCCACTGTTGGAGGCACTGTTTGCTTGTGGCCCAGCTGTGTCCAGTATCTTCTACCTGGCTCCTGCAGGGAAAATCTGTCCCACCCTGTGGGAAACTGCAGAGTGGTGCCAGTGCAAAGGGCTGGTTGGAGTCTCCCTGTGACATTTGAGCACTGTCTCAGAGAAAGCAACCACTGTTTGCATTTGTTGACATCTTGTTTCACTGCTGGCGATGAACCTATGGAATGTTTCCCTGGAAAAAACTCCTTGTTCTTTTTTCCGTGAATGCTTTCATTCACTCTGGAGCTGAAGGAGCAAAATTTTCTTCCACACTTGGATCCCTGGGCACATTCACAAAGAAACTTCTTTTAAAGGTTTGGTTCACTTCCCTGTGACTTAACTCGGTGTCAGAATTGGTCACAGATGGCCTGGATTCATCCTGCCTGTGCTTGCAGTTCTAACTCAAGGCATCCAGACTCAGAGATCTGGTCACTTCAGCTACCTTAGAGGTGCTTCCAGACTCACCACATCTCTGGTCTGGAGGGGAAGGACTTAGAGGAGGGAGCCCAGGGACATACTGCTATTAGGTGCCGAATTTAGTTGTCTGAACCTGGCTCAGGGAGCTGGAAGTAGCTTGTTCGGGTGAGTGTGTGAAAGTCATTGCCATTTAATGGCTCATGTCTTTAGGAAATGAATTGGACTCTTTAAATATTTCCTAACATAAAATTCAGAGGCTGTATCTTTTGTGGATATGCTCCAGTACAATCAGGATTGACTCCATGATTTTACCCTGGATCTGGGCTGGGCTGAAGCAGAACCAGATCTGCTGTGGAGCGACCATTCAGAAATGCTTTATAGGCTAAGGGCTGCAGCTCCCCCTGAAACTTAGCACGCAATCAGCTGTTGCCAAAGGCTGCATCTTCAAGTTCAAACGGGATGCCAAGACCATGGAGGGTGAAGGGCTCTTGTTTTCAAATGCTTTATTTAGAGCTTGAAGGGCTGTCTTAAGAAATTGCAGCTTTCTCTCCTTACAGATCCAGCTCTGTCCTCTTCTCCTCTCTCAGTACGTCGCCTCTTCTACCTGGCATCACACCTGCTGCGGTGTTTTGTGTCTCACACTGTGTGTGTGCCTTGTGTTCGAGGAGAAATGGATACGAGCGATGCCTTCCGAGTCAAGGCAGCCTAGTTTGGTCAAGTATAAAACAAAAGCGCCTTTGAAAGTCGGCAGAACGGTTGCTGTGACACAAGGAGACGTAGCGATTATGTGGCATCAGATGGTTGTTGCATTTTTATGTGCTAGAGGAGTATACCGACATTTTCCAAGAATTCACATAGCTCTTGCCGCTGTCTGGCAAGGAAACATTAGGAGCCAGAGAGGGAGAGAGTGTTGTTTTTGGAACCAGCCTAATTCATAAGCTTCTAACCAAGCTGCCTCCTTTGCCACCGCAGCTTTTTTTTCAGACTGGACCCAGTTTGCTGTTGGTTTAACCGCTGTTCTAGCTAATTGTAAACGTGCAGTCAAGCCTACCCATACTTATAACACACTTCAAGAGCTAACTCCAGTATCAACTCAGTAAAAAAGACCTGAGTTTGTCTCGGAGATGGTCACTGGAGTAGCAGTCCGCAAATAACATGGTTGTAGTGCCTCTCATTCCAGGATGCTTCATGGGTGGGACATTTACCAGGGATTCCTTTAAAACTTGTCTTTTTTCCGTGGTGTGATGTTTCCAATCCTGTTAATTGAGGATGAGCAATCCCATTAGAGTAAAACAAGATTCTCCTGGTCCCTGACCCATCGACCAAAACACTGGTTTGAAATACAGCTTTTCAAAATTATCATGATTTTTAGTATGAAGCTCAGATAAAACCTGATGTGGCTCCTAAATCCCTCGCGATTCACAAGAGATATCTGCCTAAATGCATTTCAACAGGCAGGCTTTGAGGTGTTCCGGTATGAAACTGCATTTCCTCTTCGTGAATCTTGTTGCAATGGAGATTTTGCATGAGGAAATCCTTAATAAATGTAGATTGATCATAAAGACCAGCCTTTCTATTAAACCACAGCATATACAACTCAGGTAAATGCTGTTGAGTTTGCTTCTGCCTGTCTTTAAAATGCTGGTAATTAGCATGATTGCTAATTAAAGCACAGCAGGCTTTGCTGGAATGCTGATGTTTGCCTCACGTTGTTTTTTTTGTTTGTTCTAGTCTCTGGAGTACAATATCTTTGAAGGGATGGAGTGCCGCGGGTCTCCCCTGGTGGTTATCAGCCAGGGGAAGATCGTGCTGGAGGATGGGAATCTTCATGTCACCGAGGGATCTGGCCGGTATATCCCCAGGAAACCGTTCCCTGACTTCGTTTACAAGCGCATCAAAGCAAGGAGCAGGGTGAGTATAAATGGTTGGATGCACATTTGTTCTCTCGCTGAAACTCCTGAGTTCAAGTGGGTGGAAAACAGATGCTATCCCCTGACTCGCAGACACATGCTTCTGCAACCCAGAATGTCCCCTGGATAAGAGCCACATTTATCTCATTCCTCTTTCATTTTTGCTATTCACTTGAGTCATTAGAGGAATATGCTTTGGCTTGAGCTTGGATTTTCTGCAAATTTTATTTTTCTGCTCTTCAGTTCTTTTCTGTCTTGGGACACCTAGACAGAGCATGTGTCCAGGAACTGTCCTGTTTGTACGTGAGTCCATCTGCAAATAACCCAGGAGATTTCTCCTCTCACAGGAGTACCAAGAGAAGTTATTCATAGCATTTATATATCAAACCTTTCAGCAACAATTTAGAATTCTAAATATGCTGCTTTTCCTTCTGTCAGATACGATCAGATGCTCTTGTCTGGTGACTGGTGAGTCACAAGCACAGCCTACTGACTGTTTAAAAGTGAGAATTTTCTATTTTTAAGAGGCTAAAATTGTTGGGAGAGTGTTTTTGTAAAATATACGCATTCAAAACAGAAGCTGCCTTTTAATATGCCTTTAGTTGGTAAAAACTGACAGAGAGGGTGACGCTGAACTCAGCTGCAGCTTAGTTGCTGAGAATTTAAGAATATTGCTGGATTAAGTAGGTTTTTGAGGAGAAAAGTGTTTTGATGTTTGAAGTGTTGCCCTCTCCTGGACAACACCAGACCTGTGTTCATTCCCCTGACCATAGTTAATCTTCACATTCCTTGCAAGTGATCTTTCCTTAGTTGTTCTTTTGAAGAAATTGCAAGTTATCAAAATTACAGCCTGAAACAATTTAGCGCCGCGGAGAGTAGATCCGTGCTTTCTGTTGGGTTCTGGTCTCCCACAGAAATACGTGTCTGGCCTATAAATCCAATTGCGCAGCATCTCAACTGGAAGAATTGCATTTAACCCAATCTCAAGCTCCCAAGCTGGCGATGTGAAGCTAGCCTGGCTCTTCTTTAGCCCTGGCTCTGGCTCAGTGTGGTTTTGCTTTCTGGGGATGAGTAATAAGTTTCATTTAAGAGTTGTCAGGAGTCTTTAATACAACAGCAGGTAGGTTGCCATCATTAAAGGACAGAACTTGTGGTGCAGGAGACAGACTGGCTGTCTTCTGTAGGCTGCTCGCACCAGCCAGCACCCAGCTGGGGCCACAGCAGCCCAGAGCACGGTTCCTTTTATCCGTGCTGCTTCAGAGACCACCTGCCCCCCAAGGATCAGCACGGAGGAGATGATGGACACTTCCAAATCCTCTTAGTAAAAAGACAAATCTTGAAATGTGTGTCTTTGGCTCAGCAACATCTGGCCAGCTGTGTAGTTCTGTTTTGACCCTGAAGGCTGCCTGCTTCTGTGTTTTGCAGCTGGCCGAGCTGCGGGGCGTGCCTCGAGGCCTCTACGACGGACCTGTTTGCGAAGTGTCGGTGACACCCAATACCGTCACACCAGCCTCTTCAGCTAAAACATCTCCTGCCAAACAGCAGGCCCCACCCGTGAGGAACCTGCACCAGTCTGGATTCAGCTTGTCTGGTACATGTTTTTATGGGGCTAAATTCCTTTGAAATCACAGCTTGTTTATAGTCCCGTACTCTGAATTAATTCTGCTGAAATTAGAAGGCAATGAGAGAGACTGAGATGTGTTTGTAGCTCGGAGGTTTAGAAAGGAAGAAAGCAGTGTAGGAGCTATTACAGAGTCCTTCTTATTTTCGTGCCGTGGCTGAGCACCCCATTGCGTCCTCGGCTCGGTCCTCAGTTGGGTGTCTGAAGAGGGCAGATGGCACCAACTTGAGTGGAGCTTTGCCAGCTGAGAGCAGCTGTGGATCTGGTATGTGGCAGATTTGATTTCTCAGCGTGCTGCTTCAGTGCAATGAGGGAAAACTATAAAAAGGAACAAAAAGGCTCGCTAAGGGAAAACCTTTTAGCCAGCTTGTGTCTGGGTGGCTCAGGTGTTCAGCGTGGACATACTAATGCAGAACAGGTTTCAGCAGAATTAAGGCACTAGAGGCATCTTTTCCTCCAAAGATGGTGCGTTCTGGTGCACATCGTTGGAGCCTGGCCTCAGAGGACTTGATGGGTTTCAGTGCAGCTGTGCTCTCCCAGCTCCCCTGTCCTGCAGCTTGCTCAGCCAAACTCTCGCTGGCCCGGTGGACCTGACGTTTCTTCTCTCTCCCGCAGGGGCACAGATCGACGACAACATCCCACGCCGCACCACCCAGCGCATCGTGGCACCGCCCGGCGGACGTGCCAACATCACCAGCTTGGGCTAAGGACCGACCCCTTCTGTGCCCGCCTAGCGGACCAGGGGACGGGGGCACCTGGAGACCCTTTTTGATTCTTTTAGAGCCTGTGACAGTTACTGCGGGCAACCAGTGAGGGGGGGCTGAAGTACGGCACCTCTTTCAGTCCCCTCAGATTCCCTCCTCATCTTCACCAACCCCTCTCACTCCCCCCACCTTCAGCCTCTACACATTTAAAGAAATAAACCCTGTTTTGACACCTCTGACATGCAAAAGTAAATGTAAAGAGGATGTTTGAGATATGTGGCCTCTGTCCCATTCAGCATCTTTCTTTTAATAAAGGAAGGATAAAGTGAATTTCCCGGGAGCTGCCTTTAAGACACACACAAAAAGGAATAAATGAATAATAAATGTAAAAAATAGCTTTTTTTTTTTGTTTTAATGTCAAGCAGAAGAGTAGTTCAAGGGTTTTAAACTGGATAATTCTGTAAGGTTCTGTGTTCCAGCAGCATAGCTAGGCAAGCACAGAGGGACGCGAATCCCAGCCTGTCTGTAACCATTCCCCACCACCTTCGAGGTCACTGAATAGCTGTCTGCTGCCAGGAGAGAGAAACAGGACCCAGCGCTAGGAACTGACAAAGCGCATCGCACCCAGCCATTGGGTGAGCTAGAATCGTTGGGGACTTTGGTTCTGTTGGTTTGTTTTCTCATTTTTTTTTTCCTTCTGGATTTTGCTGCAAATTAGGTCCTTGAGGAAACTTTTTTTTTTATGTTTGTGTGTGTGTTTTTAATATGTTTGTATCATTGTGTTTACGAAGCCTTACCTGAGAACTGGGGGTCTCCCTGTTCTTCCCGAACCTCATTCAAGTTACAGACTCCCACCAGTGTCATTGCCACCCTGGAATTTCAGGTATTCCTGGGTTGCGTCATTCCAGCCAACGCTTGCCACTTAGCTGCAATAGGAGGTCGCAGAGCAGGTTCATAAGCTATGGTCTTCACGTCAGTGTACTTGAGCTGGTGCAAACAAGGGGCTGGATACCAGCTGAGGAGCTGGGACAGCATCTCTTGAGAAGTTTTGAGCAGTTAGTTTGTCTTTTGTTGCTGGAGGTGGAAATCGATAAGCAGGGGACCATGGGCAAAGAGCAACATGTTGCTTGAAAGGTTTCTGTAGCAGCCACGTTCCCCCTTCCTGGCTATCAGTGAGTGGTTATTTAAAACTTTATGAGAGCTTATCTTTAGCTCCCATCGAAAGGCCGGTCAGCTGAGTGTGTGCCTGAGCATCTGTGGCAATTCCAGTTCAAGTCCAGATGCCCAGCTGTTGTAACTGGGAGCCTCCGAGCGGCTCAAAGGGTCAACAGCAGCTGAGAATCTCTCCTGCACGGTGCGAATTTCACAGTCACTCATCCCTGCAGGAATCTGCCTTTGTGCAAATATTCGTGAGAAGGCCCGGTGGTTCCCCACCCTTCCTCAGATGCCTGCTGCCTCAGATTTGAGAAACCAGAGGCTACGAGTGGTCCTCGAATGAATTTACAAGCCCCAGCTTCCGTGGCAGGCAGCAGGATCTGGGTATTTAAGTATCTTTGGGAATTGAAGGTCTTTTAGCCTTGGAGGCTCATTATTTTCAGGACATGGAGAATCAATCTGCACTGTTAGATTCCCACTTAAACTTCGCTGGAGGGCTCGGCGGTCGCGAGGACTTGGCCTGTCTCTTAGCACAAAGAGCTTTTCTGCCCGCAGTTAGCACAGCGTTACCTCCACTGTCTGTACACCCAGCACTTGGCTGCATCTTCTGCTTTCTCTTCTGTTTGTGCTTTGCCACGTACATTGACCTTCTTTTTCCATATTTGTATTTTCTTAAATGGTGTTTTCAGGTTCTTTTAGGGAAATAACGACATATATGAAGGCTTTTAAGAAAAAAGTACCAAGTTTGTTGTGATGAAGTATCAATGCTGGGATTTGCAAAGGATCTGGAAGCTACTTAGGTACCCAAACCCTCCCAGCTTCAGCACCGAATTCCTTCCGGCCCCTTTGAACACAAACATTCAGAAAAACATTGCCATATTCATCCATGCATTTTGTATTTAGGTTTAACTCTTGGGTCTTTTAGTTTTGCATTAAAAAGTTTGCACTTTGTCTGTTAAGTAATCCGTGAACTTAATATATATTGCAACGATTTTCCTTTTTTTTTCACCTGTATGTTAAAATCAATTTGAATGAGTTGGGGAGAAAAAAAAGAAAGAATTGCACATCCGTTTCAATTCTACAAAACACTTGCGGCTCTTCAGTATTCACTTAAGTCTTCCTTTTTTTTTCCTTCACTGACTCATGATGACTTTTTTGTTTTAATTTGTTCTTCAAAAGGAAAAAAAATCACAAAAAAAAAGATTTTTGCAGGCTATGTAAGCATGTTTTTTCCTGTGAGAGCTCGTCCGCTTTGTGTCTGTTTAATGAATGTCATATGTAAATGCTTAAAGAAAAAAAGACGATGACTTAATTAATTAATTAACCGCAGTGACTTGAAGCTCTAAAAATTAAAAAAAAAAAAAAGTAGGATTTAATACTAGCTGGATTTAACCCTTGGATTTGTGATTGTGAACCATGAGTGGAGGAGCTGTAAGTGCTAAAGCTGATCGTGTGTAGACAAAAAGAAGTACTGATATTTGACCATTGTCTCAATGGCAAAAAAACCCCACCCCAACCCCGAGTCTTGTGTTTTATTCCTTAAGAACTCTGTGTTATATTACCATGGGAACTCCTAATAAAGACAAAATGTTGTTGTTTCACTAGGTGCATCTGTGTCTCGAGGCGATACGTGTTGTGTGTAACTGTGTACCGTGGCCGGTGCCTTCAACAGATAAAAACTGACCGAGCTCCGGAATCGGTGCTAATGTAGGCGGGTGGTAGTCCTGTGTAAGAGTGGGATGTACGGTAGCAGAGCTGAAGATCGGGTCCTGTGGTTCCTTGGAAGATGGTGATGGTAAGGAGGAATGGTCCACAGGGTCATTTCCTTTAGAGAAAAAGGAGCCTCTGCTCGGGGCAGTTAAAACAGGATTTGGCAAAGCAGAGGCATTTGCCTGGAAAATCCTGGCTCCACCTTGCAGAGATCACTGATGAAATGCGAGGAAAAGAAGATAAAACTGTTGGTCTAGCCCTCAGGCCTCCGGTGGGTTTCTACTTGGACCCTCCTAACAGGGATGGAGGAGGGGAGAGAAAGTTCAGCCGTAAATAGAAGCCACACACGGATAACTGAACGGGGAGTGTTGGAGCTGGCTGGAAAAACGCCAGTGAAACTTCTGGTGGTGGTGGTGGGGTTTTACTGCATTGCAGAGATGCTGTGGGAGATGGCAGCGATCGTGGGAAGGGCTCAGAAAGAGCCGGCATCACTGTCGGCCGCTCAGATCGTTGGTTGCTGCATCCCTGCATCCGCCAGATCAACCGTCTCGGTGGTCTTCCCCCAAATCCCAGCACAGCTGGAGTTTACAACTGACTGTGCAGTGACGTTGAGCTCTTGTTCCTCACCTGAACCAAACCACATGTGTAAGCGTGCTGTGAAATGCAGTTAGCTTTCTCCACGCAGCTTTAAGCCTGGCACCCCCATCAGCGGGAAGTTCTCAGAGGGTTTCCTTTCTATCTGTTCAGAAGGGGCAGTGGTCGTCCGGACTTCCAGCTAATGTGGGGATCCTGGTTCTGTCACCAAGGACATGCAGTTATTTGGCTACTGGCAGCTTAAATTAGATATTGGCATGTATGCAATCAAATCCCATCGAGCAGGGTTAGTGGGTCGCTATGTGTAAGATTTATGAGCTTGTCCCAACAATAATATCCCAGTGAAAGACACATTCAGCCTTTAGTTAACGCACATCTGCAGAGCTTCCCTTTGTTCTTATTCTACCATTGTTTCTTCTTCCAGCACTTAAATTGGAAAGAAACAAACTTCTTCCCCAGGAAATCAATCCCAGGGACTCAGTGAACCTGGTCCATGTTGGAGCAGGACAAAAAAATACCAACTGCAGCGTAGAGAAGTTTTTGAGGTCAGGAAGAAGTCATCAACAGCCAGATCTAAACCTAACGTGTGCTGAGGAACCAAGTCAGTGAGAAATGTCAGGAAGATATTCAGGTCAGTGGGGCAGTGCTGGTTTGCTGTTCCAGAAGAGCACAGGAATAGCCGTGTTTTGTCAACCCGTTAATCCAGGTAATTCCTTACGCTAGCAGCAACGAGGTCCAGCTCATGGCTCGTTAGTTAGGCACTGACTGGGGTCTCTGCAGGCCTCCCATTGACTGGTCTGCAGCCACGCAATGAGACCCAATATGGATCTAATCTGACCTTAACGTTGCATAATTGGTGGCTAAAAGGCACAAAAAGAAAGTAGAAGATGAATTTGACTCAGTGACCTGCAACACGAGCTGTCAGCTCGTGGGGAGAGGTGGGTTATCAGAGCTGAGGACAGCATGGCTTGATTTAATCCTTAGTGGAAGGGTGTTGGGAGCAATAACCGTCACTAGTCCTTGCATCTCAGCTGCCCTCCTTCGGCGTGTGACGAGACCTAGCACAGGATTTTCAAAACCGAGGCTTCTGTGACCTGAACTCGTACCTACGGCTGTATCTATATTCTATATATGTATATAGAGGCGTACATCTGTACCTCTTTCCAGCCCAACTGGTTTTGCAGCGAAGTGAATTTGCAGTATTTTGCATTTCCTGCAGGCTAAAAACCAGTGTTTCTGCAACTTAATACCTTCCACCACGGTAATTGGAGGGTGTCAGAGTGCATGGGCCCCCAAGGCTGTGTGGCAATATGGGCTGAGTCGCTTTGCACTTCAAAAAAACCCCACTGCTGGGTAACCCTCAGTGTGGGTCACCGTGACCGGCACCTTCACAATGGGAACAGGGTATCCCACCCCTCCCTACGGGGTACTGTATATGACTCCAGATAGCTTGTGCAGGACAAAAATCCTATTCATTAGTAGTTTAATTAACTTAAATTTCCCAAGATTTTTATGACTCTCAAAATTAAAGTATTTAGTACTTTCAGCTGCTTGCTCTACACGGATGCAGACTATAGCTTCAGAACTGATTTTCTCCTTTTTTTTTTTTATCACAAAAGGTGAAGGTTGAGCTCGCTGCCATTGGGTGGCAGCAGGACATGCAAAAATGAGAATGACAAACTCCCTTGAGGCACATGGATCATTTTAAGAATGATATAGGATGTAATAAATGTAGAACATGCACAGGGCTTATGATTATTGTGGCAAAGAGATGACACACACACACATATCCTCTCTATTATATTAATATATTGGATAGTATGAATCATCTGAGTGTATTCTGTTATAGCTTAAGCCTAACAAGACACCCTCCTATAATAAAACGCAGAGCAAGCCATAAACTTTATCTAGCAATTTAGTTACAGGAAAAAAAA